AATAACAATGGAGTAATGGAAAGTAATAGAAGAAGAAAGGGAGTAAAAAAGAGTAATGAGAAGTGATAGGAAACAAAAAGGAGAAATAGGACATGATGGGAGATGAAAAAGAGTGATGGGAGATGAGAGACGAAGAGGAGTGATGGGAGACGAAAAAGAGTGATGAGAGACGGAAAAGAAGTGATGAGGGACAAAAAGAAATGATGGGAGACGAAAGGAAATGATGAGAGACAAAAAGGAATGATGGGAAGTAAACAGGAGAGGAAAAGAAATAATGGGAGACGAATAATGAGAAGTAATATGAGGTGAAAATGATGAGGGACAAAAAATAAAAAAAATGATCATGATAAGAGGTTGGGTAATGATAGGAAACCAAAAAAATAAATCATAAAGTAAAAAAAAAATGAAGTTAGTAAATAAGATAAAAACGAATTAAAAAAAATAAATAGAAAATAAAAAACATACCTTTATTTTTATAGAACTGAAAGAACTAAAATAACTAAATAAAAAATGAAATAAAATTAGTGAAAAACGAAATATGAAACAGAAACAAAATAAAAAAAAATAAAAAAATGAGTAAAAAACGAAACTATACTGAAAACGAGATTCGATAAACAAATAAACATGACGCGATCATGTGGCAAATATAAGGAGTAACGTAAAGTATTTACCAAAAAAATTTACGTTCCGTTCCTTACTATATAAGAGAAGTAACGTAATAGATCATGTGACTTTACGTTACTTACTTTGTCAATTTCCGTTACTTACTTTCTATATATTCCACGGCAATGAACCGATCCTAAAAAGAAAAATCCCGGAACTGACCGAACCTAAAAGAAATCAACCCGACACCAATAAAAAATCATTACCACTTACCGTTAGACCACAGCTCCGCAGCAGAGTCCAACTGAAATCGACGAAAAATAATTTTATTATTATTTAATTTTCACATGATTTTCCGAAATTTTTATAATTTTTAGCAAAAGAAAGTATGTCTCTTAGGGTGGGTGGGTGGGTGACGCGTTAACGTCATTGTTAACATAAGATTAGTTTTCGAGTGATTTCATTTTTAAGATGCTAACTTTGATTTATTTTAATATGATCGGCAGCCGACAAATCTTTTAGTGGTGTAAATAAGTTATTTTGAAGATGATCATTCAAGGTTCCGGATTTGGTTGGAGGTTTCCTATTCAAGAAAAGTATCGGAAAAGCATAATACGAGGTATACAGATAGTACTGCGCATGATCTTCGTCAACCGGTTAAATGTTAACCGGTTAAAGCTAATATTACTATAACAAAATTTTTTTTTTTGAACAATGTGTTTTTTTTTTTTTTTTTTTTTTATTAAATATTAAGATGCATTCAAATAACTTGCATGTGAATTTAATAAGATGATGTCCATTGGATAAACTCCCCGGAAGAAGTATTTTTTTTTTTTTTTTTTTTTTTTAAAATAGTAATGCGTTTTATTAATTATTTAAAATTGAATACAATTACATAATTAAATTACAAAACACGTAGAGCAAAATGAAATAAATTTCATTAAACCCTATAACTAAGTATTTACAGAACAAAATTTATATTAAACTAATACTAGTACTAAAAATTTTATGTAATTATTTTCTATTCTAATAAAATGGTAATTTAACTATCGTATCCCATGTTCTATCTATGCTATTACCATCCGTTATTGTACCTGTTAATTTTCCCAAAGTTACTATTTTAATTTGATTATTTATATTTTTTCTTTCAATTTTTTCGCGATTTTCATTTGTTTTTTTATTTTTGTTATTTTCTAAGAAATCTCCTTTACTAACGTCAGACATCTGTTTCTTTGATCTTAAATCTGATTTCTTTATTTCGTCCTTTTCTTCTAATCTCTTGACTTCTTTGCATCGTGGAATCCAAATTCTTCTCTTTATTTCGTCATATATGAAATTCCAAAGCTCTTTTATAATTCTTTTATCTTCTTTATTTTTTGAAATATTGTTAAAATTGTCGTTAAAAATTCCTCTGATCAGTTCCCATTTTCTGCTTTTTCCTTTCAAGATTACTGAAGGGCTTTCGAGTATTATTAGAAATTGACATAAAATATCTCTCAATATTTCTATATCTTTGTATTTGTCTTGCTTTTTCAATAATATTTCTAATTTATATGGTGATTCTTGTATTATCTCATCTATAGAAGCTTCGTTATCTTCACATATCCATACATGTTCCCAATTTTCTTCTTCTTTTTCTCCGCATCTTAAACATTTCGTAGATTCTATTTTATTAGTATTTCTTTTATATAAAATTTGATATGTGGGTAGGTCTTTCAAAATATTCTTGATCCTATATGATCGATCTCTCGCATCTTTATCACCGCATTGTCTTGATGAGAAATTTATTCTGTTACTAATAAATTCTAAGGTTGCTTTCCAGTCAAATTCTTTTTTGTAATTGTATACGAACAAATCATCCAATTTATCGCTATTTAGTATCTCGTTCTTCCATATAGCATTTGTGATTTTTTTACGCCATGCTCTATATCCTCCTGTTATTAATCTATTATTCCATATCAGATTGAATTCGTTAACAATTAATGCTTCGTCTATTAATTTGAATTCTTCTTTTGTCGTATCGATATTTGACATGTGTTTTAGAAGATCTTCAAGTCCTCTTCTAAGCTCTTTTATCTTATCAGATTTTTCATCATTTACTTCAATTAATTTTATTTCGTTATTCTCTATAAAATTTTCTATATAAAGCAATTCTAAATAATAATCACTATCTATTTTCCTCCTATTACTAAATTTTTTAATAAATTCTGATATTAATTGGACAATTTTCCTGTTCACTCCTAAAATTAATTCACTATTACCATTTATTATTAGTAATCCTAAAATAATACTCCTCAAGATAATTTTGAATTCATTCTCATGAATACTTTCATGATTCGCCATCATAAATATTTCGTCTCTTTCATTTTCTATTTTAGATTTTCTTATCTTCCATACTATAGTGTAAAAGTAAGTCCTTTTACCTTTTTTGTTAATTTTTGATTTATTTTTCTTTACTTCTATAATCATATAATTTCTATTTATTTCTGAATTTGAATCGTTACTTTCTATAATATTGTTTTTAATATTATTGATAAAATTTTCATTCGCTCGTATCGTATTATCTATTGTTTCTATTTTTTTATTATATAAAACGTCGCTCCTTTCTTCTTCCGTATAGGTCCTCAACCATGCATTTTTTTTAAAATGTTGTTTAAGGTTTCGTAAGGCTTTATAAATTCGTCTTCTTTTCTCTTTTCTATTTTTCTACTAAACTTCATCACTACTAACTATACCTCTATTTAACTCATCGTTCTCTATATATATTAAGCAATTATTATATTCTTTTTTTTTACTTACATTTCTGTAGCATCCTTCACAAGCTATCAAATTTGGCGAATTGTTTAAATTGTAAGCATCGTCCGCTAAAATTAAATGTCTTCCTATCCTTTTGTGATTTTTACTAAAAGATCGTTTTTTATCTTCAACAAATAAAGGATGTTCGTCATCTCTTTCACTCCAAGTAATTATATAATTTTTATTCGTTTTCTCATTTTCGTCAAAATAATTAATATTGATATTTTTCTTTTGCGTTATGTCTATATATTCATTTTTTATTTTTCTTATCTTTCCCTCTTTGTCTTCTAATAATTTTTCTTCTATATTTTTAAACCATTTTGGAATTCTTCCTTTTATGTTAAGGCCTTTTTCTTTTAGCAAATGTTTCCATTTTAGAAGAGTGATCCCGTCTGCTTCTAATATATCCTCTATAAACATCACGTTTTTTGCTTTTCTTGAAGACGTACTTATATTAATATATTTAGTATCCATTATATCTATTAGGTCAATTGTACCTCCTTTAATCCTATGTTTGTCTTTATTTCTGTAAATCTCGTGATTACATATTTTAATATTTTCGCTGTTTAGGATTTTTAATGTGTCTAAAATCCAATTATTTTTTCTATTGCTTGTAATCAGAATTTCACCTGGGCACTTCGATGTCCAAATTTTGTTTTGTTCTTGCGTTATTTTTATTTTAAATATCATTTTCAGCTTTTCATTCCCATTTGCCTGGTAAATTAAATTTTTGCACAGCATTTCTATTTGTAAATCGTAAATATGTTTGACACCTAATAAATCTTTTTCGTATAATATAAAATTAGGAGTTGATTTCTCTAAACCTGCCCTCTTCTTTATTATTGCATTGATTCTTGTCATCATTTTGTTACATTCGTCTCTTTTTAATACAATTGCCATCAATTGATATTCTATCCTTGGCATGATCACGATGTTCCAAATAGCGATTATTTGCTTTTCATTTAATTTTTCCAGTTGAAGATATTGCAGGCACTGTTTATTATTGTTGATATTTTCTTTTTATAGACATCTCTTTTATTATCGTGTCGGAAGAAAATCCCTAAGTATCTGTTCCCTCTTCGTTATTAACCTTTGTAATAGGTTCTCCTTCTATTATTAAATCTTCAACTTTATTATTTATTTTTATAAGTTCGTATTTCGACACGTTGGCCTTAATATCGTTGATCTTGAAAAACTGATGACAAATTTCTATCAATTTTTTCAATTGTTGTTTATTTTTACTAATCAATGTTGTGTCGTCTATAAATGCTGTGACGTTAATTGATATTTCTAATAATTCTTTTTCGTTGTTTCCTCGATCAATTATTTTTTCTTCATTTAAACTATAACCCGTCTCTTCTTTTAATTCGTTTAATCTACTTAAAAGTGGGTCATAGAATATTCTCCAGAGTATCGGTGACCATACCTCACCTTGGTCTATGCCGTCTTTTACATGGTAACTTTCTGTCAGTTCATTATTGACTAGAATCTTATTAAATCGATTTAATGATATATCCATTACTAAATTTATGAAACTTTTTGGCAGCTTAATTCGTTCTAGCTTTTTCTTAACATTGTCATGTTAACTGAATCGTAAGCCTTTGATATGTCCATTAAAAGTATCCAAGCTTCTTTTTTGTAATTGTTAGCATCTTCAATTATTGTTTAGATCATTTTTATAGGTTCTAATGTACTTTCATTTTTAAGCGCCGCAAAGTTTGTGTTCATCAATATTACTTTACTGGGCAAGCCAATTTTTTTACGATATCATAAAAATACCTTTAAAGCATATTTTAGCTTGTCATGATGCCTTAAAATCATTATTAAAATTAGGATGTCTTTAGGATATTAGAAAAGGTTTTTGAAATTGAACTTCTATGAACATTTTAAATGCAAATAAAGATATTTACATGCAAAATAATTTTAAATGCTTTTAATGTGCTTTTGATAACTATATGATAATTATATCATTATGATGTCATTACAAGCTTGTACTCAAAGCAACTATTACGATATCATATAATATTTAATACTAATTGAAGTTATAAGTTTATACTAGTATTTTATCTATTACCTTAGATATTATTGATAACATTAGCATAAAAACGAGATTTTAACACTAAGTCTTTAGTGATATGATCTAATCCTTTTATCTTATTTAAGGTCCCTTCGTGATCACCATTACCATTCAATTTTTCTCCAATATGGAAGCTTAATGCTCTGCACAGGAATGATTTTAAAATATCCAATGCATCCGTATCATCTTTCATTGTAGGCGCATAAATTAAATATGTATTAAAAATACAACGTGCAAAATCATCTGTAACATATTCTACAATTATCGATTTAGTAAAGGTGCGAATTCTACTGGCATTTCTGTTAATAAAATCCATGATTAAATGATATGATAATGAGTAACTAAATAAACCAACGTGAATAATAGTTAATACTCACTTCTTTTTTTGATAACGCTCAATCATGATATCAGCATGTTGTGATAAATCATTATTTAAATTACAGCGATATGCTTGAAAAAACTTCTTTGCTTTACCTCTTGCTGTATTTATATCAGATTCATCTTCAAACGTTAGCTTTTCTGGCCACATTGTATTGATTATTAATTTGAGGGTTGTATCAGAAAGATTTCACATTTTCATAAACAGTGGTTTTGTAAACTCCATTATGGTAGTTATTACATGATTTTGGTCCTAAAATATAAATAAAGGAATGTAAATAAAAAAAAGTAATAATACCATTAATAAAAAAAAACTTAAATTTACCCAGTATTTCCGTTTTTGAGATGCAAATGGAGATGAGGAGGGTGGCAATGATATAAAATCTGCATGATTATTAAAAAATGATTTGACATGTTTTTCAACTTCACGATTAATTGCAGTTCGTATCATATCCTCTAGATTTTCTGATCTCAAAATATTTACGATTGCTGCAGATACTTCATGTGGAACTATATCTTCTGAAGAAATTACTGAATCTTGGGATATGGTTTCTTTTGAAAAACGTTGCTTCATCAATTTTCCAACAGAGGTAGTGGTCAATGTTTGATTATTGGGTGATGTTTTATCTTGCATATCACCATCATGATCATCCGATTTCCAATTGTCCCAATCATCAAATAAACTAGATGATGACGTGACAGAACTCTTGCTCATTCTAGTACTGCTAACAAAAGTACTATCGCTTAAAGGTTCAATTATTTCATCTAAGTGATTCAACTTTTGATATTTTCGTCCTAATAAATATATGTAAAATTAATTGTAGTAATAGTATTTTGGATTACGGCCAAACTTTGTAGATATATTTACCATGTTGGCATCGCTCTTATAGCCATTCTGTACCATCATTATTTTTGTCCCAACCTAGGATTTTTTCATATACCATTATTCAGTATAAATAATACTAATAATATAATATTTTTAATTAAAGTTTAATAAGCTTAAAAAATAAACTTACTTTTTTGATAATGCTGATCTTCAAGTTCACTTTCACTTAACGAGTCTTTGTCTTTGAAGTCTTCTTCAATATGAATTACAGGAGGACTTGCTGTTGAAGTCGGTACAGAATTTTTTTCACTGCTTGTTAGATTTGAAGGATTGGTTAAAGCTATAGGCAGGGTTTCTTCACAACTGGATTTATCAGGTTCAACTGCAGAATCTATAGAATCATTTGTTACTACAGCAGTTACTACAATGAGCGCATGTTTTTAATTAGTAATAATTTTTTTTTATTTTATATGTAAAAATCATCAGTTTATCAAATTTATTATTATTACCTTTTTCTCTTTTATCTATTGTACGAGTACGATTTTGAGATTTTCTTTTTTTGGGCATATTTAATAATTAAATATTTGATTCGTAGGAAATAAATATATGAAATCGCAATAAAAGAATATCTTATTATTTATATACTAAAAAAAATTACGTAGTTAAAAAAAAAGATATTGTTAACATTTTTTTTTTCTTTTTTTTTTTTGTCATACAATTATACATAAATATGACAGTATAGACTATTTTTATATAGTTAGATGATTTACGTAATATAATTATTTTCGCGTATGGATCGTACCAAAATTTTTTTTTTTCTAATATTATTTTTTTGGTCTTTAGACCCATTTTTTTTATATAGATTTTTCGAATTTTTCTAGATGAATTATGAATATTTTTTTTTTCAGTCCTTTTTTTAGAGCAATCTTTCAATTGAATTGTGAGACATGCATTTGATTTGTCTCGTGATCTTTTTTTATAGTTGATTGGTGGATTACTAATGCTACTGTGCTTATCTTTATTTGATTAGTTTAAAAGCTACGGCTAATTTTTTTTTTTTAATGCATTTTTTTTTCTTATATGGCTAATTTTTTTTTTAACGCAACACAAAATACATCTGCAGCTGATCTAATGTTTTTATAGTTAAATATTTGATTGGCAGATTTAATTGATTACAAATAGACAAATAGTTAAATAAAGTTTCGTTTCCTTGTCTTTTTCATATTTTTACAAATTTAACAATATCTCGAGTTCGTTTCCATCAAACCACATTTACGAATCCTCCTAGATATAAAAAAAGAACAAAGAATCATATTTCTACTATACAACAATCAGCTGCTAATATGTCACATTCAGGACTATTTGAATGGGATGACTTTTTGAACGATCAAATTTTTACAGGGCGTAATGGGGTATAATATACCATTCTTGTAACAATATAAATTATATTGAAAATATTAATACTTTCAAAGAAACAACAATATAATAGTTCTGCTGCAGAAAACATACTTAACTCAAACTATTTAAACACGCCTAACATTCAACCATTAGAACGTGATATGGAAAACCAAGAAAAAATACAACCCTTAGAAAGTGATGATGACGATGATATGGAAAATCAAGAAGGGATTCAACCCTTAGAATGTGATGATGATGATGATGATATGGAAAATCAAGAAGGGATTCAACCCTTAGAATGTGATGATGACGATGATGATATGGAAAATCAAGAAGAGAACTTTAACTCTTTACCATCATTTAAGACATATGATGGTTCGTCTCATATACCACATTATCAAGGAGAGTATGGGCCATATTTTCCTAGTTTTACAGCAATGGCGTTATTTATTTGGGTAACAAAACATATGATCAGTTCGGCAGCATATGAAGGTCTTATATCTATTTTGTTACATAAAAAGTTCCGTATTGAAGACGTGATCAAAAGTATATGATCAATTAAACGATTTCGTAATGGATTACCATTAATGACAATAAGAAGCCATAACGTTAAAATTTCATCAAAAGATACCCATCAACATCCAAAAAATCAAAGGAGGCATATTTTTTTTCGGTTATGGACTATATTAAAAGAATATTAAGTAATCCAAAGTTAAAAAATGATCTTTACTTCGGTGAAGGAATTGAATCTGATTCTAAATCTGAGTTCTGGCATGGAGAATTATGGCAACGTTCACCTCTCTTTGGAGCGGAATGCTGTCATCATAATAATGGTAATATTACATATATTATATGTATTTATTAAAAAACTCCTATTAATGATGATTTTTTTAAGTTACCTATTGTCCTGGTGAATTTATCAGATACATTAGATATGACACTGATACCCAGCCATGAATTGGACACATTTTTGCTATCATTAAAAATGATAATGATAAATTACTTATTAAGATACGTTCTACTTTTTTCTATACAGAATTACCACGTACATATGCAAGATCACGGCAAGATTCCAGACTACTTTGGTTAACAGAAAATCAAGAAATAATAGAACTTTCCCAAATAATTAACAAAGTTTCTGTATGGTTATATGATACTCAGAGACCGCTATCATATGAATTTATAATCAAGGAAATTTTATATTATCATAATGGATGACCACTATTAAGGGATATCTCCTTAAGATATCGCCATCCTACCTTAAGTGTGCCATCTGAAGTACACCCAGATTTTTATTGCAGGAGAATTAAGATCTTTTGTGATCTTTATTTTGACAACTTTGGTACTTATAGAAACATCTATCATAGCCTTGGAGGACTTTATCTTCAATTTGGAAATATGAAACTTACAAGTCGCCAAAAATTAAGAAATCATTTTCTGGTTGGGTTCGTTCCCTTCGGAGGAAAATTTGAAGATGCTATAAAACTTTTTATTCAAGATATTCAGTATCTTGAATGTGGATTTTTAATGACAATTGATAATGAACAAGTATGGGTTTCAGGAGGGCTCGGGATCACTACAGCAGATCTCCCGCAAGGGAATGATCTTGCTGGTACTCTTAGACATAATGCAACATATGGATGTCGAACTTGTAAAGCTTCACGTAATGATTTAACAGATATATCATTTGATATTGCTAAGCATGGACGCTATCATCATTTAACAAATATTGAGTTTAAAAATATACAATGTTTACCTAATATATCGCAAAAACATACATTTGCAAGTTCATTAGGTCTTAGATTAACTCCAAATCCTTTAAATCAATTAATTTGGGATCGTCATATTAGTACACCACAGGACATTTTCCATTGCTTTGCGGGCAAAGCAAATAGGCTTCTTATCGCAACATTTGGGCTTTTGACACATTCTGGCGAAGATACTTTTACAGAAACATGGAAATTTTTTGAAGTTCCATCCTGTTGGTCTCAATGGCAAAATCCAATAACACACCTTGCAAGTTACTTTATGTCAGATATTTTGCGTCTTACTATGATTATTCCTTTTATCTTACGCAGGTGTCTTACGTCCAATCTATTAAAATGTGAAGCTTTAACAAGTATAAAGGAAAGACTAAATTTACGATCTCGTCACAATGTAATTAATAAAATAATTAAATGTTGAGTTCAATTTTCATTAACAACTCGTATGGTATTTTCAAAAACTTTAAGAAATGAAGATTATGAAACTATACAAAAAATGTTAGAATTAGAGTGCAAGATGTTATTAGAGGTAATGTAATCTATTAACATTTTATAAGATAATTTATTATTTACTGATTTTAGTATATATCTAATAGGTTTTCCCTGAACAATTTAGTGGACTTCCAAATCTTCATGTCAGCCGGCATATTGTTGCACATGCTAAAACTTATGGTACAGCTTTTAATACATCCGTCTCTGTCAAAGAAATGGTACACCGAATACATAAAGGGGTTGTACCACATACAAACAAAAAAAATGTTGAGTTTGATTTAATTAAACGTGATAACACTTTGCAAACTTTAAGACACCTTTTGGATGGAGGGCAAGATACTCGATTTGGACATAATAGCCCTGTTCATTTCTGTTCTGTTCTGTTCTGTTCCGATTTTAGTATAATTAATTTTAGCCAATTAAAAAATGGCGTGAATTGAGTAGAAAAATCGGGTTTGATCTGTTCTGTTTAATTCTAACCAATCATTTTAAGCATGTATTGCATTTTTAAATTTCGGAACATTCGGATCATCAATTTTTTTGATCCGTTGTTCCGGTTGTTGTTCCAATTTTTGAATGAATTTGATTGGCTGAAAAATATGGTAAAAATCGGAACAGAACAGAACAGAACAGAAATGAACAGGGCTAATATTATTGGTCAAGGCATTCAAAATATTGTTAATGACGTTAAATTAAGACCTTTATTAGATAACTGGTACGTAACTTCTTCATTATTGCCAAAAATATATAATGATGATAATATTGAAAGTATGTATATTATTTTACATTAATTGCATTATAAGTATTTTATATTATAATATAATTTTAATACTACTTACAATATTATAGATGCAAATATAGTAACATGTATACCGGAAATAATGGATATTAAAGTAAGGCTTAAATGAAATAAACATCGGCGCAATCAAGAAAATTTCACTGTTGGGAATCATCTTAACGAATATTTATCCAATGAACTTGCTAATACATATGCGGAATATTATAAGGACAGAGGTGCTATGATAAATTCAAAAGTGGAATTTTATAACAATATTTCTTATGTTGTAAAAGATGATGATTGTTTTGTTGATGTACGATTACATGTAGGAGATGTCGTTGATGTATTTGAAGAAGGTGAGACAGAAGAATCTTATGCTATTATTAAGGGAATTTTTACTCATGAACGCTCAAGAAAATTACATGCATTTGTAATTTTTGACTGGTTTGAAAAAATTGGAGAAAATACATTGTTAAAATGTCCAAAATATAGATTACAAGCATCCGAAGAGACAAGATGGAATAGAATATTTCCAATATCGTTAATTGATCATAATCCAAGGGTTCATTTTGTGCATAATTGTAATGAGAATTGTAATAACGAAAAACATGATCTTACAAATCATTGCTATTTGAAAAATATGTATTATTATTTAGCTGTATAATAATATAATTTATTGGCATTTTAAAAATATATTAATAATATTCTGTCAACCTTAATAAAATTGTAAAAAATTATCATAAAATGGTTTTAAATACATAGTCAGGATGATGTATTTTATGATATTCCGGTAAGCATCAGAAATAGGGTTCTAACGTGGTTTTCAGAATGATTTTTTATTATGTAAAATGTCATTACAACCATCTTAAAATGCAAATTTTAAATACTTTCAATTGCCGATCCACCTAAAATCGGCACTGCATTATTAATAAAATTCAGGGTTAAATTTGCCGATTTTGTGCTAGAACACAAACTTCAAAAAAGGATATCTCATAGGTGACATATTGACTATAAAAAAAATCATATGATATACTGTAAAAATACTTGAAAAAAACGAATTTGCAAAAAAAAGTTATACATTCGTATGCAAAATAATGAGTTTACTATGCGCGCGCGTCAGATTTACACCTTAAAATATACGAAATTTCAATATTTCATTTTACTATATTGCATTATTTACAATAAAAACCTATAATTTTTAGCTTTTAAAGTTGTTTTTAAAAGCTTTTTTAAAATATTTTTATTATTAAAAACAAGTGAAAGTTGAAGAAAACCAGTTACAGAAATATAATTATAAAATTTTTTGGCAAATATGACTTGTCATAAAATGAAAGAAAATATTGTTTTTATGATATTTCTGTTTGTAAAATGGGTGAAAC